TTTTTTCGTCTGGGAGGAAGAAGTACATTGAGAAACGACGTTTATCTTCGCCCTGTAAATAGGGAAGACCCAAGACTTTAAAACCATCGTAGGAACGAACAAATTGTTTTTTCTTGGAGGTCATGAAGGGGACTTGAACTTTGCTTCCGTCGATGAGATGGAAGTCGTGGTCTTTTGTCTTCGATGGATCGAACTTCTCGCTCCAAGATCCCTTGAAATAGACTGCGTTTGCAAAGATGAGCTTCGTCGTGCTGTCAACAGCGTTGGAAGGAAGGATCTCTTTGATCAAGCCACCGGTCCGCTTTTCCGCCCACAGATTCACTTCACTGGCTACCTCAATCGCCTTCGTTCATCAATAAGATCAAACGTTAGCTATAGTTTTGGATCGCATCTTATAGAAGAAAGAAAGGGGGAAAATGGAACTAACCTTGGTTTGGAAATCAACTTGATTAGAAGCGGCGTTGTAAACAGTGTCCACCACCTGTTTGAAAGAAGGTTTAAGAGAAAGGGTTTGCTCAACCCAAACACCGTTTGCGAAAGATAAACGAGGGCCGCCACTTGGGCTTCCATCGGCGAAGACCAAGGACACAAGCTGCGAAGAAAGAGAGTTGACGTCGTCGATGGATTTTGTTTTGAGAAAAGATAGCAACTGATCGAGTGTTTGGCCATTAGAACCGGCGGCGACTAGGCTGAGGACGACATGGATGGAAAGGGGTGAAAATACAGTGTTGGAGGTTGGGGATTTCTTGGAGAGGAGGTGGTTTGCGAGCGTGATTGAGACGTGGGTTTGGTTGGTGATTGATTGCTGGATGTCCATTTCTGTTTTCGGGAGTAAAATCGGAAAAGATGGAATCGATGGATAAGACGGTGGCGTCGGAGGATTTAAAGGTAGATGTTTTTGAGTAACGCTGTTAAGGAAAGAACCTGGTGCCGCGGGACAATGGATTCCACACAGCCACACTAACACCGTCGACTTTTATTATACAAGAAAGAAAACAAATCATTTTTTTTTTTTTTTCTTTGACGATTTTAAATGATGAATTGTTTTTTGTTATCCATATATTCTCTTATTTTAAAGGGGGAAAAGACGACATGTCCTACAAAATTTTAGAATAAATAACATCGTTATATGCATTTTTTTGTTTTGTTAATTTTTTAATTTTTTGAATGTGAGTGTTTTTATAAGTAACTATTATATTATAGGCATAATGACATAAATTTTTTTAATTTTGTCGAAATGTATGCATTACCAAAGCTCTAAATAACGTTAGACGTAAATTGAAAGCAATATTAAGCCTCAAACATTTATGAGCCGTGGTGAACCATATCGTTTGTAAACGTGGCTTAAGGCAACAACTTGAGGAGTACGCTTAGCGTACTGTGACATCCCCTAAATTCTCGGCCAGAAAAGACCGATTTAATTTATGCTTTTTAAAATAAAATCAAAGAATTTTTTTAAAAGATATTGCGGAATTGGTCCCCAAAACAACATATGATAAAAGTTTATCAAAACCTTTCTTTAAGAAATATATAATTTCATTTTTATATTAAAACCTCGGGATGTCATGTTCCGATACAGATCAAAAGCATAAACAAGACATTATAAGCCTTACAACAATTATTTATAACTACTGGCCTATAATCCATAAATCACTCATCATCATCATCCGACTATGCTCGGGGTCCACTACCTGTAATCATAAAAAGCTGAGTGGGTCAGGTTTGGAAGCCTAGTGAGCATATAGGGTTTTCAACCCACAATAAATAAATTTATTGTACTTAAACATCAAACAATCAACCAAATTACCCCAACCCCATTATCTTATTTATTTCTTAAGGGTTTAACCTAAGAATCAACTATCACTCTTTCCTAAGGATTCATCTTAGGGAATAGGCACAAGGTCACACCATCACCAGGGTTTATACAACAGGCACTAAGTCCATAGCTGCCAAGGTTTATTCAACATGTGCTAAGTCCATAGCTCTCATTTATCGACAGTATTATTTACAGGTATTCCCCCTGCAATACATGTCAATGGGTTTTTAGAGTACATCAAATGAACATATAGTTCATTACACCTACAGGTTGCGGGCCTGCTAGTGTTCCACAGACTGTCTAGAATAGTCCATGGTTGTCATCCATACTCTGCTGAATGACGGGGGCCAACATTTTGGGTAAGTGATTCTCTCAGATTTCACCACTCACCCTCAACTCATGATCAATATTACTAATCATCTCCTTTATCCAACTCACCTTTCATCACACCCACTATTTCATCTACCCATGTTTTACCCAACATTTTTCGTAGATAAAAATACATATACAGTTTAAATTATTTAAAAACCTGTATAAATCATTCCTTCAACACCCATCTCAAATAAACAAACAATATATATTCACACAACACGTATTTTATGTAAAATACTTCATATCTATGTGTAAGGTGAAAGTAACTACACACTCACATGATTTGATGATAATCGGGCAGCAATTCGTTTCCTAAAACGTTCGTTTCTAATAAAACCGGGAGTTTTATTGAGAAACCGGGCTCTGCAAAAGTCGGGCTTCGAAACCGAAAAGATAAATTTTCCGGGCTTCACGGGCACTTCGTGGCGTATTCTGGGGCTTATAATTGATATCGGGGCTTCGGGGGATGTTAATTTGAAAGAAATATGGGTTTAGGGGCTAAAAGTGACAAGTTTTCAAAATACCCCCGGGAGGTCTCGCACCCCCTATTTATAGGGGTCCGAAGCTCCTGATCCAACCGCTGAGAAGAGGCCACGCGTCGCTGATCCGGAGTTCGCAGGGGAAGGCTCGCACGAGGCTCGCACCTGCGAAGGCTTGCTGGAAGCCTCCTACTGGACCGAAGTCGGTTCTGGTGGTGGGGTCCGCAGGCGAGGGTGCGCAGATGGCAGCACGTGCGAGGGCCTCGGTGGCGGTTGCTGATTGGACCGCGGACTCGCAGTCCATGTGTGAGGCTCGGAGTCGTGGCGTGCGAGGTTCGGATTGGGCCTCCCTTCGGTCAAATCAGAATCCGACACGTGGCTTCGCATGACTCACCATTTCGGACAGGTGGCACATGCGAGGCGAGGGTGACGTGGCAACTCGTGACTATGCGAATTTTCTCGGTTTTTGTGCAAAAACTTCTAAAATCCATAACTTTCGCATACGAGCTCCGTTTTTGACGTTCTTTATATGCACGCGTAGGTAAAATTACGCTCTACAACTTCCGTTTAGACTTCGTCGGCTAATTTTGACTTTAATTTTTATATTATTATTTTTAACAGATCGGGACAAGAAATCCGTTAAAAAATTCATAACTTCTTCATCCGACATCCGTTTTCGTCACAATTTTTACTGTTGTGCTACTATTTACGAGACCTTCGATTCTCGTTTAGGTTGTGTCGGCTAAAAATCACTCGATCTAAAATTCGAGTTTTTAGCTGGCTACTGCTAAGCTGAAACTTCGAAAAATCATAACTTCCTCATACGAAGTCAGATTCGGGCGTTCTTTTTATCGAACTTCTCGGTTTAACCAACACTACAAGTTTCGTTTAGATTACTAAGGCTAAAAAGTAGTTTATCGAAAACTCACTTTTTACGACATTCAGCACCGAACCGGTTTTGTCGTGAAACTTCGACAGGTCATAACTTCTTCGTTATAACTCGGATTTCGGCATTCTTTATATATCCGTAATCCTTGTCACGACCGCTACAACTTTCTTAATAGCTATCGGCTTTATCTAAAATTTAATTTTGACGCTTATTTTTTATTCTTAATTAATTAACTCCTAGTAATTAAGCATAAAACACATAAAACACATAAAACACATAGAATTCACATAATTCCTTTTTCATTTCTTCAAAATGAGTCACAAAGGTTAACCTAGACCATTATGTCAATATTAATGCCTAGTCTAGAAACACGGGCGTTACACGTACTAAGGATGGTTGATCGCGGAGGTTCATCACGTACGTTAGGCGTACCAAGAGGTACGCGAGACGTACGTGACTGAAGACCAAAACCCTAATATTCGGGCTTGAGACCTAAGCGTACCCATATTGGTCTCATTTCGCCCCTTAACCTCAGATTTCCTTGTGAGTGTAACACTCCAATCCAGGTAATTACCCTTTATGCCCTTAAAATGATTTTCTTTGCAATATTATTCCCTGTCGTACGTTGGGCGTACTTATGGGTACGCTTAGTGTACCGAGGTGGAATGATCGCGAAGGTGAACCATGTACGTGGGGCGTACATGGCAAATGGACAAAACCCTAATATCCAGGATTGAAACCTATATAAACGTCCTTAAGTCTTTTGAACCAAACCCTAATCAGCCTCCATAGCCTCATTTCGTCCCTCAACCTCAGATTTCCTCGTGAGTTTTGATATATTGTTTATAATTTTTAATAGGTATATATAATTTAATAAATATTAAAAAAGTGGAAAAAAACCATTGATTTTGAGCTTCCAAAACCTCATCCCCTCGGGGCGCGCACGCACATAAATTATACATATATTAATTATATAATATAATAAACAAGAACATGATTTTGAGCTTCTAAAATTAAAAAAAAAACATGTTTTTAAGTTGTTAGTATAATGTTTTTAAGATGTCATAATTTTTTTTTGTTTTTTATTTTTAACATGTAAAATTTTGTTATAAATAAATATTTGTTACATAAAAAATAACTTCTTTTAGTCCAAACAACTTCTTTTTGCACAAAAAAACCAGCCCAAAATGGGCGAAGGAACGGGGGCGGCGGCGGGGTAATAAGGGGGATTCGGGGCGAGGGCAGGGGCGGGACCGTCCCGTTTGCCCGTGTTCACATCCCTATTAATTTACAAAGGTACAGCTTCGATCTAATGTACCATCTCCATTAACAAAACATCATATTTAAGAACCATCGACTGTTTACAAAATATAACAAGAATACAAAAATAAAACATAAAATAAAGTTCAACCATATCATATCGGTTCTGATTTTGACAACGGCATCAAGCATCACGAGGGTCAACCACCTGTCCAATAAACAACACAACTCCACTTTCATCTTCTCTAATCACAAACAAGAACGGATGATCAGCCACAAAGTCCACCTTCTCATAAGTTATCAGCGACATGAGCATCACACCACCTACAGTCGCTGCTGCAGCTTCCGTACCTTCTTCATTCACCTCCACAAACGCTTTATGATGAATACTTGAAACACACAAGTTTCTACCCATGGAGGATGAGGCTTCCACCATTCCAGTCATCCCTCCACCGGTGAATGGCAATACCAGACCTAGTTCCTTCAACATCTCAGATGCTTCAAACCCATAAGAGATCTTGAATTTCGGGATTAAAAACTGTCCGATTACTTTTCGGCGTGGAATATGACGATCCAAGAAGTCAGATTCAGAACCCATTTTCTGTAACAAAGATGGGATCCCATCCTTTTCATCTGGGAGTAGCAAGTACATTGAGAAACGGCGTTTATCTTCTCCCTGTAAATACGGAAGACTACAGACTTTGAAACCATCGAAGGAACCTACAAATTGCTTTTTCATGGTGGTCATGAAGGGTACTTCAACTTTGCTCCCATCGATGAGATGGAAGTCGTGGTCTTTTGTTTCTGATGGATCGAACTTCGCCTTCCAAGCTCCCTTGAAATAGACTGCGTTTGCTAAGACGAGCTTCGTGGTGTTGTCAACGGCGTCTGAAGGAAGGAGCTTTTTGATCAGGCCACCGGTCTGCTTTTCCGCCCACAGATTCACTTCATCGACAACCTCAATAGCCTTCAATTCGATCATCACATATGTTAAACTTTTTTTTTTGTTAATCTATAACTAATATCCTCCACTTCCGATCTTGAATTCTTAGAAAAGAAACAAAAAACTGACCTTGGTCTGGAAATCGACTTGATTAGAAGCGGCGTTGTAAACAGTGTCCACCACCTGTTTGAAAGAAGGTTTAAGAGAAAGGGTTTGCTCAACCCAAACACCGTTTGCGAGGGATAAACGAGGGCCACCACTTGGGCTACCGTCGGCGAAGATGGAGGACACGATATGCGAAGAAAGGGAGTTGAGGTCGTCGATGGAGTTTGTTTTGAGAAAAGTGAGAAACTGATCGAGTGTTTCACCATTGGAACCGGCGGCGACTAGGCTGAGGAGGACATGGATGGAAAGGGGAGAAAATACAGTGTTTGAGTTGACGGATATCTTGGAAAGGAGATGACTTGCGAGTTTGATTGAGACCTGAGTTTGGTTAGTGATTGATTGCTGAATCTCCATTTGTGTTTTTGAGACTGAAATCGGAGAAGATCGATCGATGACAATGAGATGGTGTGATCGGAAGATTTTAAGGTCGACATTTTGGGCAACGCTGTTAAGTAAAGAACCTGGTTGTTTGACCACGTATTCGCGCGGGACAACTATCACCCATATTAACACCTGTCAACTTTTGTTTAGAAGGAAAGCAACCAAATTATTGACTTTGAGAAAATATTTTGTTGTTTTTTATTGTGAACATTTTCTCTTATTTTAGAAGAAAAAAGAAAAATTATAAAACAAAACAACAACCGGCCTTTCTTCGATTTAGCAAAAGTAAACATCAATGCCAAGAAATTGTCTTAATTATTATATTTTTAAATTCAATCCCAATATCAGACCAAAAATATCAATGTAAAGATGAAGTTCTTTCTTGGACCATGATTCACATTTTGACAAATCATACACTTTAAAAGTGCACTCCAACGCAAGACAAAGTTGTTCTGAGAGATTTGTTTATCTTCCCCATGGCATCAAACACACACTCAGACCGTGTCAACAAAAACATCCGACTGGATTGGGTCAGAAGGCAATCAAACAACCCCTAAATTAACAATTCAACTAAAAGCTCCATTAAGCAACTTAAGTTGGGTTTCTTATATTTGACGGATATAATTGGGATAAACACAAGAAATACCAAAATGCTTCCATTTATTGTTTGGATAAACACAAGAAATAACAAAGTGCTTTCATTTATTGTTTTTATGATGTTCTTTTCTTTCTTGCTATTATATCATTGTAGTTTCAGGTTTTTTTTAAGCATTGTATTTTTAAAATATATCTAATTATAGCATTGTACTTTCAAAATTTTTCATTATTAAACATTATACTGATAGATCTGCTCAATATAGCAATGAGAAATATTTTTTATTTGGATGACATTATTATATTTGGGTAAGTCTTTCAAAGTATGCAATAGGAAGAGATAAAATAGAATGGTATAATAAACAATTCATTGGAAGTGCGTTACAATTTCTATTTTAACCTAATATTAAACGTGGCGTTAAAAATAATGATTAATAATGCTATCTTCATGGACATTCTCAATGGGAACATTTTCTAATCAAGTATCCTTGGTTGCATTACTAATTCCTATCTCTTGTTACAAAACACAAACCCTTGGGTTTCTCATATTGGCAAATATCTATGGGCAAAGTGAAAGAAATAGCAATGTACTTTCATTTGTTTTTGTGTAGCATCCTTCTTTCATTTCTTTCTATTATAACATTTTACTTGAAAAAAACTATTAGGACATTAAACCTTGAAAAATTAACTCAATTATAGCAGGATACCTTCAACTTCTTTCTTATTATAACATTATATTTGAAATATCTAAATTCAAAGTTTAAGCTTATGGCTCCTTAATCTTGGAACAAATGTAATTTTATATATATATATATATCTCATTATGATATTTTTCATAATAAAGGCCTTTTTTTTTATAACAATTTGATTTGTCTCCCATACATTTGGTAATTGTACTTTACTTATATTATACCAACATTTGCACTCTAAAGCTTCACATCAACAAAAGTTTTCATACTTACCTATTAATCCATATAAATATTGCAAAAACATTGATTTCTTTGTAACTAACAAAACAAAACAAAACAAAAGAAAACAAACTTTTCATTTTCTAGGGTTTATGAGTGCAAGAAGTGGATGAAGCTTTTGTGTTGTAAGCCCAAGTGTATTCACATCTTCTTCAGCTTCATCTTTCAGTTTCCACTCAAAATCCTGCACCAATCTTCCAATTCCAATGCAAGAAATCACCATGGCTTGAAGAGAACCTGCACACACTCTTTTTCCTCCCCCAAATGCCATTGTTTTATACAAATCCATACTCTCTTTTTCATTCAAAAACCTCTCAGGATTCCACTCTTCAGGATTCTCCCATACCTTCTTATCCATGTTACATCCATATATATTTATCGCCACCTACACAACAAAATAATTCATAATCTGTTACTAGAATTTGAGTAAATGACCATTTTACCCTTCTATATATAAATAAACGGTTAGCGTCTAAATACATTAACCTATGTTTTTTATTTATTATTTTAAAAAAAAAGGAGAAAAACCTCGGTTCCAGCTGGGACATGGTAGCCTCCTAGAACTGTATTCTCGTGAACGTATCTCAGGGGCATTATTGGAACAGGACAATGTTTTCTCAAGGTCTCTTGAAAAACAGCATATAAGTATGGAAGCTGAGATAAATTCTCCTCTGTGATCTTCTTTGATCCACAAACACTTTGGATTTCCTCATACAGACGATCCTAAAATGAATTAACAAAAAAAAAAATCAATTTGAAATTATTTAGTTCATTAATTCATGTGATTTTAAAGAAAAAAAAACAAACCAACCTGCATGTGTGGATTCTTTGCCAGTTCATACATTGCCCATTCTGTGGTGACCATGGTAGTGTCTGATGATTCGATAATTGGCTCCCATAAAGACATAAGAAGCTGTTTATCTGTTAATGTTTGTGCTTCTGATAGCAAGTAATCAATGTAGCTGTTCAAGTTCTGTTATTTAATTAATTAACAATTGTTATTATTAGCAAGAATTATATAATCTATGGAAATAAAAACACAAAATTACCTCGCCTGATGCGATACGTTTTTTATGTTCTTGAATAAGGGCTTTCATTACAGCTTCTCTTCGGGTATACATTCGATGGATTATGTTTTCAAAGCTTTTATTTGGGACCCACTTGAGATATGGAAAGAAATCTCTCCAGTCAACTTCAATGGCACCCATCATTGGGTCAACCACTAATACCTCAAAGATTTCCTCTCTTTTCATGGTGGTTTCTAGATCCTTCACGTATATGCTTTCAACATCCTTTCCCAATGCCTGTAAAAGTATCATGAAATATTTTATGTTTTCTTGAATTATTATTCAGACTGTGTTTGTTACACATGACATGACATGGCATAACTAATGGACAAAGTTTTTTAGGGTTACATTCAATAATGAGGATGAGAAGGGTATTTTTGTCTTTTTTCCAGACGAGACATGTCTCAACTTTTTTACTTTTGTCCCATTGACAAAAAAATTGTAGCATTAAGATAACTCACTTGTTTCATTGCTAGTCCAAAAAGTTCAGATTGGAATATTTTCCTGAGGTTCACTTCTTGATTAGGATTTTTTTCGAAAAACGCGTGTAGTTCATTTGAAACATTCTCCATCATGGTGTCTCTATGAGCACGATATTTCTTCTGAAAATTAAAAAAATAAAAAATAATAATTACTTAATATTGCAATATAGGCCAAAAGGGTTATTTTCCAGCAACTCTTGAGCTGGCCCACACTGTCATTTCCCAAAGTCATCATGTGAGAAGTAAATCAGGTAGATAGTTGTGTGTGCTGAAGAAGTCAAATTCACATTGGAATTGAAACTCTGACACTGTGATTGTTGATACTGCAAAAATTAATGTGACGAACCTGGGCATTTGGTCCCAAGACAGCAGTGAGTATATGACGTTTTACGGTTTTGTGATAGTCATTGTAATCACTCATAGCAACCATGGATTTATCTTCGGTCAGGACTTTTAATGCATATGATAGCTTTCTAGTTGAGATTGATGGAAATCTTGTAACAACTACCTATAGCAAATATTGTGCATTTATTAGTCATATGTTATCAAATCATTAAATTAAATGCAATAGATATAGATTTCACATTAGGGTAAAGTATGTTACATTAATTTAATTTATGATAAAGTAGTTTTTACTACATTTTGTAGTAATGTTTTATGCATGGTTAAATTGGTAAAATGTTATACACGTTTGAAATATAGTAGTATTAAGTAACACGCAACAAGGATAAATTAAATAAAGTATTTTTTACTAAATTTGTAATGATGTAATGGTTATATAAAACAATTGTCCATTATTTCGAAATGTTAACAATATTTTATACATGCAAAAAGGCAGTGGGAAGTCGGCAAATACAACATTATCTGGTTGAAGTAATAAAAAAATATATTATTTCTTATTGGGACTAGTGTTTTACAAAATCTACCAATTTACTCTTCCAGAAATAACAGCAAGCAAAATTAACCGTGATTGAGAATCCTTTTCTCAATATTGTATTAATAAAAGACGTTTTGGTCAACTGCTTCAAAAAAATTAAACGGTGGTATACAACTTCATTCCAGAAAAAAAAAAAAAAACATTTGTGGTAACATTTAAATTAATAATTATTAATGTATAAATAAATAAATTTACAAATAGATCCTTTAACAAGTAAAACACGTAATACGACATAAAATCCAATAAAAGACAAATAGTACATTTGTTCTTAAACCGAAAAAGCATTTTAAAAAAACAAGGAATAAACTATGAATATAAAATTATCTATTTAGTAATTAATAAATATTACATAATCTTACCAATAATCTATTATCTTAATCTTATTTTATATATTTTAAACATTTGATTATTAATTAAACCTGGCTCTCACAGTCTAATTCATGCTAATAATTGTTTAATTATTAAAACATTAGAGAGAAGGGGAAGAGCACCTCCTTGGCGATTTCATTGGAACTAACCACCACCATGGAAGTGGCTCCAGTTCTTATGGAGTAAATAGGCCCATACATCTCTGCCCATTTTGTAAAAGTCATGTATGGTTTCTTCTCCTTCAACTGCAGTAAATTCCCCAACACTGGTACCCCAGGCACCTCTGAAACATTCCAATTCCAATTTCACTCGTCATCAAACTTACAAATTCATCATCATCATCAATCAGACAGATAGGTATTAAGATCAAATCAACTAAAGAACCAACAAAATTCATATCAATTTCGCATTTGTATAATACGAATTTCAAAAAATTGTTAGTTAGAACGGAGTAGAACATACATACATACTGACATACATCCACATAAATCCAAATATCAGAGAATCGGAGTACCTGGAACAGGAGGGAGATGGTTGCTGTGATGAGAGGGAGAGGTATAGCTTCTGAGAAACCAGAAGTAAAGAGCAACCACAAGTGCGACGGCCGTGCCGCCTATGGCTATGGCGGTTCTCAGGGGAATTGTTTGCATATCGATCACGCCATCCATTTTCTGCAACAAGCCGGCAATAGAGAGAAAGAAGGGATGGGGGTGGTGCAGATGGTGGCGTAGGGGTGTTTGTGTTTCTATTTAGAAAGAATCATTTGAGTTCGAGTTTACACTTTACACTGAGTTCGATAACAACTTTATAGAGTCTCTTTTCAAATAACAAAGGCTAAATTACACGATTCGGGGTAATCTACACGATTGATCCTTATATTTACCTAAAATAACATTTATACCCTTATTGATTTATTTTTTTTGATTAATTTAACCTTGTTGATTAATAATAATAATAACCAATACAGGCCCCACCCCCTTTACCTCATTCCACCTTCTTCTCCTATGAAACCACCACCTGCTTCTTTTCTCTTCTTCTCTGATAAAAACCTTTTTATGTCCTCAGACCTTCCCAATCTTTGTGATCCTCTTCCACTCATCGCCACTGCAACCTCCGCCATTGCACCCAATGCCACATGGTCATCTTCACTGAAACCTGCAAAATCAATAGAAAGTATTGCCGGAAAACTCCACCGCCTGTTGATCTGGTAGTTTAGGCAAACAAAATCAAAATCCAATCAATTTAGGGAAAGATGTTTAAAATCGAATCTGTTGGTGATTCAATGTGTTATCCATAACAGGGTTCAGTGAGAGAGGACAAGACAGTGGCTGGAGGAGCGTGGTTTTTCCATTGGTACCCTTCACGCCTGTTGAGTTCTCACCGGCGTTAAGTTTCAGATCGGGTTATTGAACATAAAGAGCGGATATGAACGATTGGGAGAGGAAATGAGAGATAAAGTTAAGGTCAAAAGGAGGCGGTTGCCGGAAGTGAAAGATTGAGTCACCGGAATCTGGAACCGTAAGAGGAAGAAGCAGGTGAGAGGCGGTGATGGACATTGGAAATGCAGGTATCGAAGCCTGTGTATAGCCAGGAGATTGAAGGATTAGGATTAGATTTTTATTCTTTATTCTTTATTATATTACTAGGTTAGAACCGTGGATTTGGAATCCACGGGTGACAAAGCAAAAAAAATATTGAAATTTTGAAAAGTATAATTATTAATCGACAAAAAATGGACAAGTTTACTGTTACTTTTCTTCACAACTTTAATATATACTAGCAAAGAACTCGCGGCTACGCCGTTTTTGGGGTAATATGGGGAAAATCGGCAAACTTTAAAAAATACGTGCTGAAAGTGCAAATCACCGCAATTAAATACGTGCATTAAGATACGAAGACATTGGTTTGCTAAATCGACATACAAGAAGATTGCATCATGCATGGGTTCGAATCTCATTTCTTCCAGTCTTCGATCTTTCATTTCAATAAATAGTCAGCTGCGGGCTAAGAGGCCTCGTAGTAGCACTACTTAGTGACTAGGAGCGGAGAGACCTTTGCGCGTTCTTTTTGTTTGATCGGCCTATCTTCTTTCTATAAGCAAGCTCCCTCCGGCTGTCCAGGGACTGGACGGAAGACAAATAAGGGCTGCACAAGACTAAAAACCAGAGGCAACGTTCCGGGGGTCTCCCCTCTTTCTGGCGGGCCTTCTTTCTTCTGCTTCCTTGTGCTTCTGAGATCCGGTCTTTCGTTCGCAACAAGGTAGCCATAGGAAGAACCTGTGGCTGGATTGAATCCTATGCCCTCAAGTTCTTCAAATAGGAGAGAAAGTCGACAATCCCTAAAATTAGATGTCCAAAGTGTACGACAACCAAAAGAAGGGACACTGGTGAAGAAAATCCAAAAATGTTGTGGCAATAATGTGAAAGTTGCCAAAGTTGAGAAAATATGGTGGCAAAATTCTAAAGGAGGTTTTTTTGTGTTTTTTATGTCAAAATGTAAAAGTTTTGACTATAAGGACGAAAAGTGTCAAATTCATTAAAGATTTGTGGCAAAAACACCAAAATATAAAACTTTTCACTGCAAGGACGAAAAGTGTCAAAGTTACTAAAGATTTGTGGCAAAACCCTAAAAGTACAAAAACTTAATCAAAACATAAAATTGTAAAAGTTTTCACTTGAAGGACTAAAAGTGTCAAATTCACTAAACATTTGTGACAAAAACCTAAATACATAAAAGTTACTATTGCTAACTTCCTTTAGATTTAATATATATATAGAATATAATAATTATAGATTTGGAAACAAAAATTTATTTGTAAAGTTATATGTTTTGTTAGTAACATGTATGAGTGTTCGTTTGGATAGATCATTTCGATCCGATGCAATCAAGTGAATCCAAATGGATTTCGGTTTTCGAAAATGGATCCGACCCGTCCAAACTAAATTCAAATTTGATATGAACCAACCAAATTACAATTTGGTTGGATCGGTTTTTACAATTCCACTTTCAAGAGATAGAACATTTAAAAATTATATAACTTGAATGATAGACAACTCTAAACAAAAGTAAATTGTTTAGTTATGAATTAAAATTTATGAATAACCTTTAAGAAAATTATGTTATCATTTAATATTCTATAGATAAAAATATCGAGAAGTACATATTTAGGGTTTTTATCAAGGTTCTAAATAACGTAAGGCGTGACTTGGCGGCAAAATCAAAGTTAAGCCATGACAAGCCTTGGCGAGCCATGACGTTTTTCAAGGCGTGACTATTTTATGTACATTAAAATTAAAAGAGATAAATCGTATAATTGTCAAATTTTATCAAATATATGTAGTTTTTTAGAAATGTTATATTAATATTTAATATAAAAAAGTTAACAAAAACTCAATTATTTTAGGCTCGACGAAAAAAAAAAACAAAAAAAAATCGAAATAACCCGCGCCTTGTGAAAAACTCGCTCCATAACGCGATAAGGCACGCCTTAACATGTTATTTGGGCGTCACACTTAACAAACCCGCATTGGACGTTTTCGTAATGGCTACACCACGCCTTGCGCCATGACACGCTTTTTAGAACCATGGTTTTTATTGGGTAATACTTCGAATCTATTTAAAAATTAACTTACATTTAATAAATATTTAAAAGAAGTATATTAAAAACAAATATATATATATATATAAGAAAATGATAAATTGATATTTGGTTTTTATGGACTATTCGGTTTTTCTTTTATAAACCAAAACCAACCGAAATCAAAAATAATAATTGGATTTTTGCTAAAATCCGATTATCCGAACCAAATAGTTTAATCTGAATTGTCCAATTGGATAATTCGGTTTTATCGAAATAGTGAACCCTAATAACAGGAAAGTGAATAGTTTCTTTTCGGCGAATGGATTCTTTTATCGATTAGTTTTGTTCGGCAGACATCAAATAGTTTGCTTTCGTTGATTACTTTTTTAAAACATTTTGTATTTCAAAGAACATCAAAACAGAATATATATATATATATATATATATATATATATATATATATATAATATTTCTGATTCAAAATTTCAAGTTAGTTAATCCCTTGTGCAATATACATGTATAGAAAGAATCACAATTCCAAAACAATTAGTATACAAATGGTAAACGGTCGTTACTTGAAATTATAATTCTTTGAGTTTGCCACTCTTCTTCAAGGAAAGCAAAGAACAAAATTAGGAAAACCACGCTTTGAATATTATATCTCACATTATATGACAATTCTACTGAGAATTAGCAATTTCGATGACCTTCAAACCAATATATGGGACCATAGATTGCATGGAATTCTTATGCATGTTGTTGTAAATCATATGAGTGAGAAGAATAAAATCCCTACAAAAAATTGAACATAATAAAATCATTAAAACGAAATAAGATTATAATAATAAAATTGTAGCTATATTCAGAAAAATAAAATCACAACTTTAGTGGACATTGCTAAATTGGGTATATTTTTTTTACAAAGTATAATGTTGTAACAGGAAAATTTTAAATGGAATGATATTATAAAAAATAAGTTAAAAGTATATTGTTGTTTTTTTAATTTAACTCAGAGGTGTCTTGATAAATGTTGTTTAAAATAGATTAAAGAAGATGTCCTCACACTTTGAGATATGAAAAAAGGGCTAAATATAAAATATAAAATAATTAATCAAAAGTGGTTTAACTTTCTGATGCTGCAATGAGATACCAATTATGATAAATTATGAACTAAAAAGGTTAGGAATGATGAAGTTAAAAAGGTAGAAATGATTTCTACTTGTAGACTGTGAATTGGTGACAGAAATGAAAATACTAACCTAATTTGGACTTGCAATTTATGGAATAAAAATGAAAAATGTGAAGTAAAATGGGGGTGAAAATGTGAAATAAAAATGAAACTGTAACCTGTTGCTTTCTCTGATTCTAGATATCGGAATGAAATTTATACATAATATTTGGTGGTGAGAAATGAGTTAATTAATTAGTTTCAACATTTTATCAATTTAGTCACTTAAGTATATTATTTCATGATTAAAGCATTACAATTTCGACCGTTTAAGAAATAAACTTTTTGTGGTTACCACATATTGATATCAGGGAAAAATGCAAAATACAGAAAAGCACAACTTGCACTCACAATTTCTCACATCATCTATCCCAGCATCAATTTCTGATTACCACTGGCAAGTTCATGCTCGAAATCCCAAATTTCTCTATTTTTGTACCTTCTCTTCACTTTTCTCAACTGAATTCTCATTTCCAACAAACTATTATCGCTGTGGAAAAATATGATAGAAATGAAAACCCCTAGAATTGATCAAACTAATACATACTTTTAAAATCAAGAAAATATCGAAAACATATGAATGTGCGTTCTAGTTATATACGAAGTCGACAGAAGAACGATTCAAATTTGGAGATTGAATCCTAATTTCTCTATTAGTGTGCTGATTTCTTGCGACCAGTGTTTGAAATTTTAATTGCAGGAAATCAGGAACAAAATCAAGATACGAATTTTGAAAATACCGGATTTCATGCACCGAATAAAAGGAATATAGTATCTTCTTGAAGGGTAATTTTGGAATCGCAGTTAGACAATTTAGCGGGAAAAGACACATTGGGGAGGCTGAGCAATTGCCACGTGACAATTTTGTACCGTTTTATTAGGATAGAAGAAGATTCTTAGATTTAAGGTCCATGGTTCATTTAAAACATAAATAAATATGAAATTATTTGAATTTATAAGAAAAATTAGAAAAATATTGAATTATTAAAATTAAAGTGTTTTTTTCTCTTTTAAATTTAAACAAATAATTTAGATAAACAAACAAAGAAAACTAATGAGCTTTAATTTATAAATTTTGAAGTTAAAAGAAAAGTCAATTAATGAAATTGAAATGCATTTATTATTATACTTATTGCAAATAATACATTTAATTAAATATTATGTGAAATTTAATAAAAATGAAACAACCACAAAATGTCATGTGGAAAAAATTTAATTAAAAATAACCACAAAATGATATATGGTCAAATCAATAAAAGTGTGGCATCAAAAATATTTTTCTTTATTAGAATAGATTTCTTTCTATTTACCTTTTCATAAAAAAAGGATAAAAAATAATTATACGGACATGATGATCATTTATATTTTTCTTTATTAGAATAGATTTCTTTCTATTTACCTTTTTATAAAAAAAAAAGGTAAAAATAATTATACGGACATGATGGTCATTTAAAGTCTGTTAAGGACCAACCCCAAAACAAATTCAACTTACAGGGACCGTTCAAATTAAATAAATAAGTTAGGAACTAAACACGTAAATCACCCTAAACCTTAAGGACCATTTATAGAATTTACCCTAAACCTTAAGGATCATTTTGTATAATTTACCCAATAATTAATGTAGACATATCTCTATTAATCAAATTTACTTTTTACGATTTATAAGAGAAAAGAATAAACATTTGTTATATAAAATGTTAGAAACTCTATTAATAAAGTTGTAAAAGCGGTTAGACGATTAGGGATTAGTTGTCGATTAGTCAGAGACTATAAATTGTAAATTCGTTAAATTTT